GGGGGCACCTGGGTGGCTCAGTGGTTTAAGCCTCTGCCTTGAGCTCAGGTCATGGTCTCAGGGTCCTGGGATCGAGCCCCGCATCAGGCTCTCCACTTGGCGGGGAGCCTGCTTCCCCCTCTCTCTCTGCCTGCCTCTCTGCCTACTTGTGACCTCTCTCTCTCTCTCTGTCAAATAAATAAATAATCTTTAAAAAAAAAAAAAAAGAAACAGCACATGGTGATTAACAGGGTTTGGGAAATGAGGAAAGTGTCAAAACTGCTTTCCTCTGACCCCACCTTACCTTAAGATTTAAAGATTGAAAACTATAGAAATAAAGATGAGGGGCACCTGGGTGGCTTAGTTGGTTGAGCTTCTGCCTTCCGTTCAGGTCATGATCCCATGGTCCTGGGATCGAGCCTCACATCAGGGTCCTTGCTCAACAGGGAGCCTGCTTCTCCCTCTCCTCCCTGTTATTGCTCTCTCTTGCTATCCCTGTAGTTATCTCTGTCTCTCAAATAAATAAAAAAATCTTAGTACCAAAAAAAAAAATAGATGAGAGAAAGATGACACACGATCTAAGTCTTCCTAATTCTTAAAACACACCATTTTATTTCTCCCCCAGGGACACAATGTAATACAGCACAGGGCTGAAAGAAACCCAGGCAGACAGTACATTAATTACCCAGCATCTCATTTCCATAGCATCTTTGTTGGGGCAAGATGTTTAATAAATACCATTTAGTTAGACATCCAGGAGGCAATCTATTTCTATTTCTGCATACCAGGATGCAATTAGACAAAACAAACCTGCTTCATGGTATGAAACAGAGGAAAGAGCCATGGACTACAAACAAGGATGCCAGGGTTCTGGTCTCAGTTCTCAAAGTAATTGCACTGTGTCAACCTAAGGCTTATGACCTTCCTGGACACAGATTTCCTTATCTGCCAAACTGGCCCAGAGAGGAAGACAGACAGGGACTGGGCATGATTTGTACTTGAGTTCAGCAGAGCCCAGGACTCTGGGAAGGTCCATCAGGGGCCCCATGGAGGTAAGGAAGGAGCCACGTGGGCAGCTCCCATCCACCACCCACACCCCCCTCAGCCTGAGAAGCTCCACTTTCCTACCCACTATACTGCGGACCGAGATGTCATTCAGTCCTCAGTGTGATCCCACATTTTACCCCCACCACCGAGGGAAAATTACTAGCCAAGATGCTCTCTAAGAATGTGTCCCTTAGGAGTCAGTGGGCTGATTTCCTGAAGAATGATAACATAAGTTGAGAGCTGCGTGAATCTGTAAGTTAACACCTCTCTGTAATCTTAAAAAAAAGAAATTCACAGAAGTCCCAATGAGACACACCCTTTTAGAATTTGGGCAGAAAAGTAAATTTTTATTTCAGGAATAAACTTTGAGGCTGGATGGAGGTAACCAGAACCATTGGCCAATAGTACAAAACGCTGCAGGTACTTACTTTGAATTATCTTAATGTTTTGTTTTAAGGAGCAAGTATCACTTGTGGGCTAGAAGTTTCTTTTTAAAGAAAAAAATTTTGAAGAAGTACAAAAACAAACAAACTATCTGACAAGTGATCACTCCACAGCTCAGAGCACAGGGACTGTGGTAACTTCCCAGGACTCCCTGACCTGAGAAGCTTCGTCAGGGCCTCTGGCCACACTGACCGGGCAGCCAGTACCCAAATCTGACATAATTTCTCTAATGGCCCATACTTTACAACTGCAGAAACTTGGACTCCAACCAGAAGCTTGGGTTCAATCTTCTTTAGAAACAGGAGAGAACAGGGCAATGGACCAAAATGAACATACTCTCTGGTTTTCCAAAGTTCATAATGCAATTTGCAGCAGATCTTGGGAAAATCAACCTACTGGACTTTTCTATTGAATGTTAATTTGGGGACTATTTTCTACTAATTTAAATGTTATTAAAATAACATTTTATTTTATTTGTCGGTTTGTTATTCTTTCATCCAGCATAGTAATGGGTTTGTGTGTGCATGTAGTTTTGTTTCTGTTTTATAAATCTTATATATGTGCACATGTCACAACATAAACTGTCTTTCTTGGTAAGAACTATAAAAAAAAAACAAGTTTGAGAAGCATTGCTTTGGCAGATACTGGAAGTGAGAGAAGAAACTTGATTTTCAGTTTGATCTTAGAGAATTTTAGGAAGTTTGGTTTAAAAATAGAGGTGGGGGAGGCGGGACCCAGTATTTCCTGAGTGATGACCATCTTGTAGACACTGTGCTTGATCTTAACCCACCCAACATAAGTTGGCCTTATGGGGGTGAGAGGGGGGAGGTGTGAGGGGCTCATCAGGAATTCTACCTGTTTTCTAGATGAAGGGAACTGAAGTAATTTCTCCAGAGTCACAGCTAGTAAGAGGCAGAATCTGAATTCCAACCTGACAGTCCATCTGACTTGACTATTAACTGCAGTTTCTTAGCTGTAGGGGAAGGAGGAGGAGGGGGCACTTCAATTGTTTCTTTAAAGTTAGCTCTAAAAAAATCCTCCTTGAGTCTACATCATGAGTATTATTATCACCATGACTAACATTCATTAAGCCCTCACTTTGTTTCAGTCACTATCTTAAATGCCTTAAAATCTTCATTTCACTTAACCCTCACAAAAACTTTGAGATAGGTACTATAATCATCCCTGCAGTCCCCATACTGCAGACTTTCAGCAGTTCAGTAACTTAACCAGAGTCACACAAACATTCTGGATGTAAAATCCAAATGCACATTAAATAGCTGAATGCAGATTTTGTTTTTTTTTTTGTTTTTTTGTTTTGTTTTTTTTTTTTTAGCGTGTCCTACACATATTCGGGGAAAGTATCTGCTAAAATAGTTATTTCCTCTCAAAGTGCTGGAGTCTGTCAATTTTGCACCTATGATATAAAGGTAAGATTAAATGTTCACTTAGGACTTTTTTTGACTTTGGCATTCTCTGGTTCTAAAGTGGGTCATGCAGGTAGGTTTCCAGTTAAAGAATGGCAGGAAACAGGGCAGTCTGTCTAGTTTTACCACTTCAGTATCCTGGTATTAACACTGCATGGCTGGTTCCTGAACAGTTGGAACTCCACTTTCTGAAGCCCCTGTCCAGGGATGTCTGGTGGCTCAGTCGGTTAAGTGTCTGCCTTCTGCTCAGGTCATGACCCCAGGATCCTTAGATGGAGTCCCACATCTGCCTCCCTGCTCAGCAAGGAGCCTGCTTCTCCCTCTGCACACTGCTGCCCCTGTTTGTGCTCTCTCTCTCTGACAAATAAATAAATAAAATCTTCTTCTAAAAAAAAAAAAGTCCCTGTCCATTTAGCAATCTGCTTACTATAAGAATATACCCTTTGGTCATAATCACTGTATTTGAAAAATGTTCAGTGTTCAATATTCTTCATAAAAATCAAAAGCTTTTAAAACATTATGCTGATGATTTAAGGATTGGGGTTTATATCCTAATAAAATTTTTGTAAGGCTTCTTTTCTTATTCTTTTGACCTTGATGACTGCTGGCTACAAAGTCCTAATCTGGGGATGGGGTGCTAAGGGATAGAGGTGGGAGTAGACCTCAATTTTCTTGAAAAGGCAGCTCAAGCAACTTCAGGAATCCCTAGCTGCTGTGGAATTTGAGCTAAACACATAAGGCAAAGGAGAAAGGACTAAGAAGCTGGGATGTTTAGGATTTTGGTGTCACAGTCTAAGCGGGTAACTGCTCTGGTAGAATTTTGGCACTCCAGTTTAGGTGAGGTTTAGTCCATTTCCTTGTGTATCATGCGTCCAGCATCTATCCTTGTCAGCTTCAGACAACTGATAGGACACATATCCTGCAGAAACTGGTGTGAGCCAGAAGATCTTAGGAATATTGATTTTCCGATTTTCTCACCCTTTTGCAATTCTCCATCCTTTTTATTCTCAGCATTAAGCTTAAGCTATTGTAGAATCTTGTCTTAATGAGATTTAGTTACATCCGAGTGGTTTTCATGTCCTATAAGCTAAGTACACCTAAGCTGGTAAAAATGAAATTCTGCCCATACCTTCATATCACATCTTTTCCCTCAGAAAAATACAAGACTTACATTAGTCTGTGAGCAAACTGAGCAGACTTCCCACTGATGACTTAGAGGTAAGAGGGCAGTTAGTCCTAAAGAGGGGGTGGGGAATGGTAAAATGAAATACAGCAGGGCAGAATTTCCAAGGGAACTCCCACCAGTCTGTTTGTAAGGTCACACCTACATCCTAATTGAAAAGGGCTGGAAGTCCTGCACATGCAATCACTCAGCTGTCCTTTCCTACCTGATTTTACTCCTGCAGATACACACTCCTGTCACATTTCCAAGAGATATACTGAGACACAAAACCATGCTTTCCAAAGCAGACAGGGTGGGAAGGTTAAGAGAAGGGAGGAGAGGGTGGATGGTTGGGCACCTGATGGGGAGAGAACTGAGCAAGGGATAAAGTAAGGAAAGTGGGTGGATACAAAGAAAGTAGAAAAATGACACTGAACATAATGAGCAAAGAGACATATGGTTCAGTCCTGTAAAATAGGTTCTGAATCATCTCGAACATCCCATGATTCTGAGGACACATTATAACCCCCCAGGAGCAACATCAATGCACTTTTGTCACCATATTGAAATCCTAAAAGCAAGCATCAGATGAAAGGGCAAAGTAATGAGGGATCAAAAGAGTGGTGCTTCCAAGTTTATCAACTCAGCTTTCAAGACCAAGAAGTGCCTAAAGACCGCGGCAGGGAAGCCCAGAGGCTCTGGGTTTCTTCCTTAGTTGCACCTGTCTCGGAAGGGCTGGGCTAATAAAAGAGGAAAACAACAGGTTCTCACAGGCAGAAACTGGAGCCAGTCCCCGCTCCTCCTGGAGCCTGTGCCAAGAGCTACCAGAGCGCGGCCCAGGCCTCCACTGGCCTGCCTGTGACCAGTTCTGCAAGGCCTGGCAACAATGGCTTCCAGTCTCCCCGGACCCAGGGTGAGACCCACTTTTTCCCAAGGCTCACCTGCTGGGAGCCAGGTGAAGAGCAGCAGCCAAGGCGCAGGCAGCTCGGGGCCCATGCCGGCCGCTCTCTGGCCCCTGCCAGCTCAGGAGCTCCGTGGGGGACACCGCGTCTCTCTGCAACAGCGGCCGCCCCAGGACGGACCACTTCTCCAAGGAATCCCTCCGCTTTGCCCTCTCTCCGCGCGGGGCGGTGGGAGGGCCGGCTGCAGTCCTGGAGCAGGTACGGCCCCGGCTCATCCCCACCTGGGCGCGCCGACGGCTCCGCCTCCCGACCCGCGCACCGCCCTTTCCTGCTCCGCCCCACCCTCCCCGTCCTTCCCGGAGGACCGTGGCCACCTTTCCTACCTGCCACGTCCGGCTCCCCGGGCTGCCATGTAATTCGTCCCTCTGGAACCCCGTCTTCGCCACACCCCTCCCACCTATAGACATAGACAGCGTTACCATTTTTCCCCAGAGGTTCTTGGGAAATCTTATCCCTAGCAAACTTCTTCCCCTCTTTGTAGAATTATGTGGATATAACTTTCTGGGGTGTGTTTCCTACGTTATATTTCCATACCCTCCTACATGTTTGGAACACTTTTTTTCCCCACTAAAAACACTCCAATATGAAGTTTGCCCATAATGTCTGCTCGGGTTTTCTAGAAACTAAAGATGTACATATAAACTAGAGAAGTAGATTTAATTTTCCACAAATATAAAAGTCATAGGTGCTTATTATAGAAAAGTCAGAAAAATATGAATTATTGGAGATAAGAAAAAAGTCCTGCTTTCACCTCTCGTAGTTAGGCATTGCTAGTGTTGATGTATTCCTTGTTCTTAATTTCCATCCTGCATGAAGACGGCTCATCAGTCCCTCTCTGAGTCAGCCCTCCCAAGTCAGAGATTCTAGGTCTCCTTGCAACAGGCCAACTAGGATATAATCCAGTGTCTCTTTTCTTGGTAGCAACCCATGGGAAGGGGCAAAATACACCTACCTTCAGAAACCAGCCAACAACATTTACTTGGAAAGTCATCTAAACACTGGTCAATGTAAATTGCGAGCTATTTTATCTAACTCTCTCTTATTAGGGATTATTCATTGCGCTCTCCCTCCTAGCCACCACCTTTTTCCTCAAGAAAAGAATTATAAAGATGAATTAAACAGGGTTTCTGCCCCTCAGGAAGCTCCCATTCTCATCACTGCCCTTGGAAGGCAATATTATTTCTCTTAAGTATTATCTCCTAACCTGCTCTGCTGTGAAGGGTTCTCTTTGTTAGAGCTACTGGTGTCCCCCATCTCACTTCCTCCCAGAGGAACATCCTTGTCCAGAAACTAATTGGAGTTCAACCCAGTCCCTTCTCCCAATTTCCCCTCTTCCCCCTGAGTCTCGCCTCTAGTTCCCCAATCAGGCCTCTCCACTTTAAATGTTTTTCTTGTAGCCTCTTCTCTTCAAAAAAAATAGGAAGTGAATTCAGACAGTACATGGCCAAAGGCAGGTGGTACAGTATGTTCAGGGACCTTTAGACCTTCCACAGTGGGATCTCAGCAAAGTGGCTGAAGCAGGTTATAATGTGAGGGGTGTTCACCCAATGCCCTCCAGGGACTGTGCCCATTGTTCCCAGGAGCACTGTATGTATCTGAGTGTTTGTGACCCTGAGGGAATTGTATAGCCCCTGGATTTGTAAATTGTTCTAGATAGATTTTCAATCCCAGCCTTAAAAAGTATGAGTCCTCTCTTTCCCAAACTTACCTCCCATGCCCCTCAGACCTTGTTATGATGTAAAGGTCATTTTTAATACTCATCGGAAGCCAGCATTTCTCCATTTTTATTCCATGGCATGTTAATAAATACCATATAGAGAAAAAGCTCTGTGATCAAATTCAAAAAATGCTTGATAAAACTCAATGAAACATTTTTGCAGCATTTCTCAACCCCTTAGAGTGCTACTATACATTTGAAGTTTCTTTTTTTTAAGATGTTATGTATTTATTTGACAGAGAGAGAGCACAAGCAGGCAGAGAGAGCACAAGCAGGGGAGAAGGGCAGAGGGAGAAGCAGGCTCCCCGCTGAGCAAGGAGCCCAGTGCAGGACGTGATCCCAGGACCCAGAGATCATGACTGAGCCAAAGTTAGACGCTTAACCAACAGAGCTACCCAGGCGCCCCTACATTTGAAATTTCTAAGGAAATGAGTCATATAGCATTTTTCAGCATTATTCAACCCCGAAGCCTTTTTCTTACACATATCTTTGGGCAGATGCTTCATGGAACATATTTTGGGAAGTTCTGGAGGTCTAAACCCAACATAACTGGAGACATATTAAAAGGCTTCTATAGAAACAAAATATAACATTTACAAAAGTTATCCCAAGTACAGTAGAATTAAATCTCCTTATTTTTTTCTTAGGACCACTCATTCCATTGCTCATCTACCTCTCTTGCTTTTCTTGGAGTGAACACACAGATTATATATTTCTCTGCCTACCGCATGCATCTTTTTTTCTTCACCACTTTTATTCTGTACCAAGCAATGTTCTAAGCGCCTTATATGCATTCTCTCATTACACTTCTAGAATAACTACATTTAATAGGGACTGTTTTTCTGCTATTATCAATTCCATTAATAATAATGTGGCAGCTGAGGTACAAAGAAGTGACTTGCCCAAGGGAACAAAGCTAGTAAGTGGTGGAGTCATGAATCTAAGTGAGACAGTCTGACTCCAGACCTTCAGCTGTCAATTCTCACACCATACAGTCTCACCTAGCTATGCCTTCGCCTGAATTTGCAGCTATTTGACTCTATCTGCTACTACTGTTTGTTTCCACATAGATCATTTAGCTCTCCATGAAGTAAAACTCCATTCCACTACTGTGAGCTTTCCTGGGCCAGTTATTCTGCCAGCATGTGCCCTTGGTTCAGTAAAAATTTGATAAGAATATACATTTGGCTCAAAACAACAAAAAGTTCTTTAATTGCTCAATATAGAAGTAACAGTCACTTGATCTACTGATAGTGACTGAGACAAAAGTTTCCCCAAAGTAACAATAAATACCATTTATTAAACAATTATATTGTACAAGGCACTATTCTCAGTACTATTGTATTAACTTCAATAATTCTCCCAACAACACTGAGGCAGGGATTATTTTTGTCCCCATTTTACAGCTGAGGAACTTGAGGCACAAAGGTCCAGTTACTTATCCAGGGTCACCCAGCTTGTAAGTTGCAAAGCTGAGATGCAAATTCAGGCAATCTGCCTTCAGAGAGCACACCCTTAACTACTACCCTAGCCATACTGTGTTTCTTTGTGTTCATGGTCCAGAGTCTAACCACAAAGTACAGAACTTATGATTTCATCATTTATAATCATACTTTCTAGTTAAAACTGTCCATAAATGTTACTGAATACTGGGTCTATATATGCAGGTGCATCTCTTCTTAAGCATAGTGCGATATTTGTACATCTGTGTATTTATCAAGAATGAAAGAAAGAGGGGCACCTGGATGGCTCAGTTTGTTAAGCGTATGCCTTTAGCTCAGGTTATGATCCCAGGGTCCTGGGATAGAGCCCCACATCGGGCTCCCTGCTAAGCAGGGAGTCTACTTCTCTCTCTCCCTCTTCCTACTGCTCTCTCTACTTATACTCTCTCTCTGTCGAACAAAGAAAATATTTTTTTAAAAAAGAATGAAAGAAAGAAAATAAACATGTAAGTAAAAATACTGCTCCGGGCAGTTAAACCTAAAAGGAGACAAAAAAATGAAAGTAGCTAACTGATGCTGCAACATTTGGAACACATCTTGTTCATTTTCTATGCCGGCATCTAGCAAAGCACCTGGCATATAGGTAGTGCTCAATATTTATTGTTGAGCTCTTTATCAATAGTTCCTGAAATAAGTGACACGTGAGCTGGGTTTGAAAGTGAACAACTTTGCCAGAGCAATCCAAACAAAGAGACTATGTACAAAAATCATAGCACGAGGGAACAGCTGAACTATAAGCACTTCATTTTTTGTAGGGCAAGGTGGGGAGTGGTAGGAAAATATGTTAGAGAGCCAGGGTAAATAAAGGGCCTTGCATGACCAGCTGAAGAACTAAGACTTCATACAGTAGACAATGGGGAAGCAGTGAAGAGTTTAAAGCTGGGTGAGGCATGATCAGACTTGCATATTAGGAAAATAAACTTGACAACAATGAGAAGAATGGTAAGCAAGAATTGAGATGAAAGGAGGAAAGATCAGTTAGTCAAGATGGAAATACTGAGGGCTCAGCGCTGTCATTGGTGCTGAGAATGGAGAAGAGAAAATACTTTGGCAGATATTTAGAATGTGGAATTAATGAGACTGATGGTAAATTAGATGTGGGAATTGAGAGAAGAATATAGGTTTCTGATTGTTGAGTCTGTGTGGTTGGTGATGCCCTTAAAGAACACAGATATATGGAAAAGTTTTGAATCATTTCAGACACATTGCACCTGAGAGAATAGTGGAGTATCTAAATGAAACTCCTCTGGGTGGTGGACTCCTTTATTAAGTGCAATTGGTTGAATGAGGTTAGTAGGTGCTGCGTGCTTGGTAAGGGAGGTTTGGGTCAGCAGGGACTGGGAGATCTACGTTTTGGTCAGTGGGATAAAACCCAAGACACAATTCATCTTGGCCTAGGGATAAAAATAGAAGATGGTAGAATCTAGTGAAAGGATTTTGGGAAACAAATTGGCTCATTATTACTACTCCTATTCAACATTATGCTGAATCTTCTAATTAGCACAATAAAAAAATTAAAAGGCTGAAAATGAATAATAAAGATGTTGTTATTCACAGTGTTATGATTACACAAACTACTGAAGAGAATCTATAAGGACTAACAAGAGAGGTTGCTGAAAATAAGGTCAATACGTGAATGTCACTGGCATCTGTATATACCAGTAACATCCATTTTGAAGATATAACTTTAAAATATATAATTGTAATAGCAGTATATCTATAAAGTAACTAGGAATAAATATAACAACATATGTGAAATAGCTCTGTGGAGAAAATTGTAAAAAGTTAATGAAAATAGTTTTCAAAGGTGTAAAT